TGTGTGTGTGTGTGTGTGTGTGTGTGTGTGTGTGTGTGTGTGTGTGGTATCTGGAAGGAGGCATGGGCATTGGTTCCGGACCTGGGCTCCAGAGCACCAGGGAGTTACTCCCCTCCTAAGCCTCAGTTTCCTCATCTGTAGAATGGGATCCTAACAGCACCTCCCGCACAGGCTGTGGCCGTTCACTGAGGAAAAGCTCAGGGCCTGGCACATCAGTCCTAGGAAAATGCCACTGGAGACAGCAGCCCGCCATGGCAGGGTCTCCGCTCCTCCCCTCTGCCTCCCTCGTTCTTCCTCCCAGAGCTGGGCCCTGTACCCTCTCGTCCCTAAGCTGTCCCAGGGGGGCTGCCCCAGGCCCCTGCCATTCACTTGAATGTCCCCCCGAGCACCTCTGCACCAGGTGCCGCTGGGGAAACCGAGTCAGGGCCCTCCCCCCAGGGCCCTTGGGGCAGAGGAACAGGGGAGAAGCCTGGGCTCTGGGACCCCCAGGCAGGAAGCAGGACTGATCGGCGGGGTGAGGAGGGAGGGACTCCAGGCGGCCCTGGAGGAGGGACAGGCTGCTGGCCACGCTTCCCCGCGGTGTGGCCTGAGTAAGGCATTTGTCCCCTCTGGGCCCCACTTCCTCTCCCACTGAGAAGCCTGCCTCCCAAGGCCTCAGCTAGGAGTTAACGGCACAGCGGCTGGTATTATTATTGCCATTGTTGTTGTTCTCCTGTTACTCCTGTTAGGAAGTAGGAATTGCAGAAGCGGCTCAGCGTGCTGACCCGGGGCGTGCGCTTTGCATGTGACACACGCTCCCTGGTGCTGCTGCCGAAACGGGAGCTTCCTGGATGGCACCTGCCCCTCCTGGGAGGGACGGCTCCGGTGTTTTCAATCCTGTTTTACTCTATTCCACTCTGACTGAAAAAGTCATGCTGGTCACAGCCCGTCACATGGATCTCACCGCCGGCCAACGCATCCCGACCCGTTGCCGCCCGTTGCCGTGGGCTGTCCTCCTCCCTGGGCGCAATCACAGTGACCGAGCGGCGGGCCCGGCCGGGCTCTCAGACTCGGAGCCCCGGCCTCGCCCTGGAGCCGACCCAGCGCAGCGTGCCGGCCAGTGCCAAGTGCCCAGGCGTCTGCTGGTCCCCGGCTCCCAGGTGAGCGGGGAGGTTTTGTCAAAGCGCAGGGCGGACTGCAGCTGTGGCTTCAGTTTCAGGGACACTGGGTGGCAGGGCGTCACCAGGCCCAAGGCCTGCAGCGCACAGCAAGGGTCACCACAGAGGCAGGACAGAGAGGGAGGGGGGCAAAGAATCGGGTCCCCTCCCCCTCCCCCACCTCTGCTGCCCACAGGACATGGATCCTGCTTCAGGAAAAGAGGGGGGAAATGTAGGGGAACAAAATAATTATGAGGCAAAATATTCATCGGCTCAGCCCCCGGGGCACCTCCATTGAGTCCGGCTGCGAAGCGACGGACGGAGAGACGCTGGGGCCGCCGCGGCCCCTTGGGCGGAGCCTCTGAAGCCAGCCGCCCGGCGCCTTCCAAGTGCCGCCGCCGCCGAGGGGACTCAGCCAAGGGAGCCACGTGCTCCTGCAGATGGTGCTGCCGGTTTCAAAGGGAGGACTGGCCGGGCGGCGGGAGGACGGGGCTGGCTGTCCCTGTTTGTCAGACAGGCTCCGGGGAGCCGGCTCATGCTCCCCAGGTCCGGGGCCTTCCTCACTGCGGGGTCCCTTCCTCACCTGGTTCCCTCGGTGCCCAGAGCAGGGCCGCGGCGGCCGGAGGGCGGGAGCCTGGTTCTGGGGTCACCTCAGGCCGGGAGGGGGTTCGTGCTCCCATTTCCCATCCCTCTGCAGAGTTGGGGTGCCTCGAGGCTGGGGTGCTGGACCCACTGAGGCCGGAAGAGGGGGCTGAAGGTACACAAGTACAGACCGAGGGGTGCCCCGTGGCCGAGGGGATGGAACATTGCTCCCCCACCTGTGAGCCCACCTGGCCCTCATCGCAGACCCGGGCCAGCCCGGCTGCATGTTTAGCTGCTCCCTCCCCGACCTGGGCTGGCCCGGGAGGCCCAGTTTCTATCCGGACTCGAGTTAACGGGCGCGCAGTGTGGCCATCTAAGTCCCGGCTTGTGAGAGGGCTGCCGTCCCGGCCCCGTGCGGTGTCCCTGGGCTCATAGGGGTGACCTTGGCCCTCGGACAGCTCAGAGCCCAGGAGCCATGGATGCACAAGCCAGCGGTTCAGGGAGAACCACCTGGGTCGTGGCGGGTTCCCCACCCGGCAGGTTCCTTCCATCTTTGTGCCTCACTTTCCTCACCTGTAAAGTGGGGATGCAGCAGCCCCTGCTCACCAGGGTCTGGTGACGGTCAGCTGTGCTGGCTGATACACAGCGTCCCATCGTGGTAACAACTGTGGCTGAATTTGCTGGGAGCGCAGAGGAGGACGAGCCATCCACTGGGGTTGGGAGGGACCCAGGAGGGCTTCCTGGAGGAGGAGGTGCTCAGCTGAAAGGCTGATGAGCAGGTCTGGGCAGGTGGTCAGAGTTGCTGAGGCCCAATGGGTGGGCACTGGGCGGGTCCGAACCCTAGAAGACTGGGCCAAACCCTAGAAGAGGGGGTCCCTGCCACCTTAGGAGGGTCCTCAGGAGGCAGCATCGGGATTTTTCCTCGACTCTGATGAAGCCGCTGTGGAAACCAAGTCCTGGCAGCACTGTGTTGGGGTGTCGCTGTGGTGGCCACCAGCCTCCGATTCTGGGGGGAGGCGGGGGAGGCTGTGGCAGAGGCGGATTCTCGTTTCTAAAGAACAAAGACCGCAGATGCGCGAGCGAACGCAGCCCTTCAAAGGCGGCCCCTGGGGAGGCTCTGCCCGCGTTCCTGGGAGCAGCTGCTGCTTCAGTCCTGCCTGGACACCTGCCGGCCTTGCCCAAACCTCGGCTCTGCCTCTCCCAGGACGGGTGACCTCAGAGAAGTCACAACCCTCCGAGCCTCAGTTTCCCTCTCTATACACCATCAGCGACCCCTTTGTTGCCCTGCAGGGACACAGGGCACACAGTAGGTCTAACCAACATCTCCTCCCTCCCCTTCAGAACCAGCTGCCAAGCGGAGTCCGCCCCGCCTTGTTTTTGACTGCAAATGGCCCCCCTGGGCTTGGCTCCCCGTCACGCTTCCCAGGCTTGGCAGCCAGCGCCTGGCGCACACCACTCCGCTGCCACTTACCAAGCGCCGAGGCACCGCCAAGCCTCCGCGGGCACCGCCCCAGCGACCTTCAAAGTCTGAAATACCCCAACTGCTCTGGGCGGGGGCAGGTCGGCCAAGGGCAGGTGGGGGTGTTGTCACAGCCATGGTCAGGCTCCAGGACTCCCCGGAGCATGTGCAGGTGCATCTGGGGGACACAGGGGCCCCTGATGTCACAGCAGGTTCCCTGGGCCACAGCCTCCGGGACAAGGAGGACTGGCCGCAGCCCTGGGGGCTCAGGCTGGGGGCGGCCGGGAGCAGCTCATCTCTCCCCGAGCTGATCCCACTGCCCGCTGGACTGGCTGGTGGCTCCTTTGATGTTTTCTAAGCCCAGGAAGGATTTGCCTCCCGCCTGCCAGAAGGGAATGGGGCTCAGAGGGAGGGGAAGGGAGGGCTTCTCCCTCCGTGGAGCCATCCGGGGGCTCTGAGCAACGGCCTCGCACAGCATAGAATGCCTGCAGAGCGCGGTCACCGTGCAGAACGGGGCTTTGGGACACTGGGCTCTGGCGCTGGGGACCCCGCAGGGGCTGAGATGCAGTGGAAGATGCGAGGCTGGACCCAGATGATTTCTGGGGCCCCGGCTGGTCATTTTGCAAAGACGAGGGCATAGCAATCGGGCCCGGGTGGCAGCGCCCGACAGGCAGACCTCCTTGAGGGCAGGCTGTGCCTTCCAACCACCCAGACCTGCCCAGGCCCTGGGCACGGCCACTGGGCTCCCAGGCCTGCGAGGAGGCTGAGCCAGACAAGAGGCCACCCTGCTGGCCAGTGAGGAGGGGACGCCACACGGCGGGGGGAGGGGAGCTGGAAACCAGCTTTGTCCCGTGCACCACCTTCCAAGTGAGGAGATTTCCCCTCTATTTATTCTCATCTTCCCCTCAAGGACACTGCAGGTGGCGCGGGTCCCCGGTCACCCCCCCTCCGGCCCCTCACAGGTGAGCAGCCTGCAGAGGACTCTATGACTCCCCACCGTGAGCCGCGCTATACCACCCCCATTTAACAGACGGGAAGAGCAAGGCTTAGAGAGGTGAAGTCACGCTGCCGAGAGATGCCAGGGGTCACTCATTGGGCAAGAACTTAGAGAGCGCGGACGGCCAGCAAGGACCATGGGGAGCCCTGAGCTACAGCGACCACCAGATGATGGGTGGCTGCCGCGGTGCCCAAACCTGGCCGGGCCCAGACAGGAAACACGTGTGGCGGGTGCCAAGGAGCAGGAGGGGTGGACAAGTGGTCGGGAGGCCTCCCAAAGGACGTGGTGGCTGAGCTGGGCCCAGCGAGGGAGGCCCGAGCCCAGGGTCACAGGTTAGCGGGGGTGGGGGGGTCCTTCCTGCCTTCCCCCCTTTTTCTGGGGCAGGGCTGGGGGTGGGTGCTCACGCCAGGCGCAGACGGGGCCTTGATGCTCAGCATGACCGTGTGTGGCCGGGGCTCCGGAAAGCAGCTTGGTTGGCGTGTCCACCCAGCGCCCTGCCCCCCGGGAGCGCCTTCCAGGCTCGGCTGCTGGACACGGAACCTGATGAGGGGGGGCAGCCAGCCCCCTCCCCCCAACAGTGGGGTTCTGAGCGCTTCCACACGGCAGGGGGCGATCCCGACAGATGCCCAGAGGGACCTGGGAAAGGGTGTTTTTGACGGAAGCCCAAATGGATATTAACGTTTATTGGCGCCAAAGCATTTCTCAGCAGAGCTGAGCCTTTCTCCCGGGCCAGCCGGGTGTCTGAGTGGGAGGCCGAGGCCCGCCCCATCCCCTCCCCTCTGAGGCCCCGAAGCCGGCCCAGGAACTGCCCCTCCCGCCCAGGAACTGCCCCTCCGGCCCCCTCCTGAGTGCCCGCCCGGAGACTGTCTCGGTGCAGGGAGTGAAGACAGGGAGCGGCAGCGTCTGGTCTTTCATTAAGTCTGTCTGAACCTTAACTCTGATTTTCGGGCTCTGGCTGGTAGTTGGTGCGGTTCTTCCCGCTGAGGGTCCCAGAGGCAAACACCATAACTCAGACGCTCTGAGTTAGGAAAACAAAAGCGCTCTCAGCTGGTAAATCTCTCCCCGGAGCCCGAGGAGGTGCCGAGGTCTGTCTGTCTGTCTGGGCCGGCGGGGAGCCTCGGTGCTCTCCCTCAGGTGACTAATGCCCCCCCCACATGGCACCCCAGAGGCAGCGGGGTTCCACCCGGTGAGCTGGGGAGGCCGTTTGGGGGGGGGGGGGGGGGGGGGGGGCGGTGGACGGAGGCCGCTGGTTTCCCGGCCCAGCCTCCCTCCAGTCCACCCCTCTCTGCTTCATTAGCCTCTCTGGCTGCTCGAGGGTAAGGCCTCGCAGTGAGGCAGGCGGGTGTCCCCACTTCACAGCCGAAGAAACGGAGGCTCAGAGAACAGGTAACTGCCCACGCTCCCACGGCAGGCAGAGCCACGCCAGGCCTGTGCGTGACGTCAGAGCTCCTGGGGCAACGGCCACGCTCCCGCCCCTGGTGACAGTCACGGCCCTGCCCGTCCGGACCCTTCATCGCGCCCACGTCCCACCCAGGCAGGACCCAGAGGCCCGAGGAAGGCAGACGGCTCCTCGCCAGGGAACCCCAGTCTCTGCTCCCAGCAGCTGCGTCCCCTTTAATCTCCTCCGCGCGCGAGGATGACGCGAAGGAAGGTCAGCGTCCACACACATCGCCCTGGACTCCGGTCAGCAACAGGTTCCCCCAGGACCCAGCCCCACCCTCTCTGCTGGGACCCGCTGACAGGTAAGGGGTCTGTCGTCTGCCCCGAGCGGCCCCGAGGTCAGCTCACCGCCTCCACGCGCAGGTGTCCCCTTGGTGAGAGTACAGGCAGGGCTGTGGGGCCGGAAGGCACTGGGCGGGGCCGGGCCAAGGGTGGGAGGCCACTCAGAGCACCGGGGCTCAGGGCCTTGGTCACCCCAGCGGCCCCGTCAGGAAGCCGGTCACTCACCGTCCAGCCGCCACCGTCCGTGCGCATGTCGCAGTAGACCTGGAAGCCGGCGGGGTCGTGCGTGGGGAACACAGAGTAAACCCCGTCCTCCTGCCGCCCGCTCAGGAGGACATCCAGGCAGTCTCGGGGAGGCCACTCAGAGCACCGGGGCTCAGGGCCTTGGTCACCCCAGCGGCCCCGTCAGGAAGCCGGTCACTCACCGTCCAGCCGCCACCGTCCGTGCGCATGTCGCAGTAGACCTGGAAGCCGGCGGGGTCGTGCGTGGGGAACACAGAGTAAACCCCGTCCTCCTGCCGCCCGCTCAGGAGGACATCCAGGCAGTCTCGGGGCCGAGAGCCTGAGACGGGAAGCCGGGAAGCCGT